ATAATACTTATTATGGGCAGCACACATTTTATTCCTCAATATAATTAAGGGATACTCTCTTTGTAGACATAAAACATTTCTGGAAATGTTTAAGCCACTAAGTATCTGTAGAATATGAAAAGTTGTGCCCACTAAAGATCCCTGGCCACTTTGTTAATTTAAAAACATAAAAATGTGCTTCACTTAAAAGTATCATTTATACAAGTAATAATTATAAATCTCTATTCAGTTTGCACTGAAATATTTTTAATTTCAGTTCAAATGCTCACAAGACTCTTTTAATGACTCTGCATCAATTTTTTAAAACTGGTGGAAAGAGAGAGACAGAGACAGAGAGAGAAAGGAAACTTGAGAATAGAAGAGATTGTTAACATTAAAGCAAAACAATGAAAAATTGTCTTTGTTGGTTTAGTGTACTTGCCTGTGCTAACTAGATAGGAAAGGTACTCATTTTCAAAAAAAGCATCTTGGAAGTATAGGAGGAGAGGAAAAATAAATGTTATGCATTACAACTTTGCCATGTGGAGATCTAACTACTCTTATTTTCAAAACTATCCTGATTAGCCATTGTCCAACTGACATTTCATTATTATTGCCTGAAAACAGAGTTTGTCCAGATTAAAATAAGCTGTCTTACCTTTTTATATGGGTGTTTATTTCCTTATTTAACGAGACCATTTTCAAACAAAAATTAAATTTATTCACATGTTGCCAAAAATGGAAGAATAGAACCATTTTGCAAGGGAAATATGTTTAGTAGAATCCCGGCCTATAACCCTAAGCAAAAGCGTATTTCTAACATCAACATCTGTGAGTGAAGCCCATATTAGTAGTTTTATCTTCATTTCCTTTTTGTACAGACCTTGGATTTCAGTGATTTGCAGCAACATGATTTGGAAAACATTCTCCATCTTGATAAAGTCTTTCACTTTTCTTACTTCCACATTTTAAAAGAGAAAAATTCAGAGTATTTAAAACAATGTATTTTATCTACGTCAATTGGGAGGAGTGTGTCGCAAAAAGCCAAATTCAGATGCAAGTTTTGCTGACCAAAGTACCTCTAAAATGCATATGGAGTTATGCAGTTAAACTGAGAAAACATCCTCAAGAACAGGAGGTTCTGGAGTGGATTAAGATCTTCAGCTACTACTGCTTCCAAAAGAGATGCACCTTTTCTAGTTAACTCTCAAAAGACATTCTTACACCCCAATAACTTTTACTCTAGAGTTTCAGCACCACACTTTTATTGCTCATTTTCTTCTTGCATCTTTGCAGGAGAGTAGTCACCACGTGAACCCATTTTACATGTCTCATAATTATTTCAGCTCACCTATGGATCTGGTAGCAGCAGTCCCCAACCTTTTTGGCACCAGGGACCAGTTTCACGGAAGATAATTTTTCCATGGAGGCCAGGCAGGGATGGTTTCGGGATGATTCAAGTGCATCACATTTATTGTGCAGTCAAACCTCTCTGCTAATGATAATCTGTACTTGCAGCCGCTCCCCAGCACTAGCATCACCGCCTCAGCTCCACCTCAGATCATTGGGCATTAGATTCTCACAAGGAGCATGCAACCGAGATCCCTCGCATGTGCAGCTTAAGTAGGGTTCAAGCTCCTATGAGAATCTAATGCCAATGCTGATCTGACAGGAGGCAGAGCTTATGCAGTGATGTGAGCGATGGGGAGCAGCTGTAAATACAGATGAAGCTTCACTCGCTTGCCTGCCACTCACCTCCTGCTGTGCAGCCCGGTTCCCAACAGGCCACGGACTGGTGGTACTGGTCAGCAGCCCAGGGGGTGGGGACCGCAGTGGTAGAGGAATCCTAATTTCGTGATAAAACTTTGAAAACAATGTTGTGTATGTTTGAGGTCTCCTTGGGAAGGCAACACTTACTCATCACCCTCAAGATAAAAGGTCAGCAAGAGTAAGCCCTCAAACAAATAAAACGCTGATTTCTTCCATCTCCTGAAAGAGGAAGTGCGTCCTAAAGGAAAAGTTCACTGACCCCTTGGCGTGGACAGGTTTACTGCACTACTTCTTCTGCATATATGTACTGATCAGATGCTGTGGAAAGTTTAATGTTAAATATTTCTATTACATAATTTTTAGAAATTATCTTAATGAGTAAATTCCAAATTTAAAACATTGAAATCATAATTTTAAAAAAATGTATAACCCAAAATTTTCCAGAAACAAAAGCTTTTAGTTTTCTGACTCATGAAATCTCTACTCTCCCCATCTTCACCACTTCAGGGGGTGGGAGTAAGAGGAGAAGAGCTAGGTCAGTAACAAGGGAAAACTACACCTCACACATCTCCACAGGATCTAGGCCAAAGCTGGGCACACAATAGGCACCTGTAAAATATTGTGAAATTGAGCAAAATAATTGAGACAGAGCAGGTGAGGGAGGGAGTAGTCATTCATTTATTCAACAAATGTTTGTCTTGTGCCTACTTCACCCCAAGCACCCCATCAAACATTAGGTACATAAGAGTTAACAAGATAGACACAGTCTCAGCTCTCATGTAAAACTGAATCTAAACGAGAGATAGACATTAAACAAATAATTGTGGTAAGTACCATAACTGAGAAATGCAAGCACTACAAAATATAAAGGGGGCTCCAGCTTAGCCTAGGAATAAGGAAGACAAGGACAGGCTTCCCTGAAGGACATTTAGACTGAGACCTCAAAGAGGACTGGGGGAAGAGTACCCTGGGCATGTACAAAGTCCCTGAGAGGAGAATGAGCCTCACGGTGGGAGTGTAATAGAAGTAGGTGATGCTAAGAGATGAGGTACACAAGTTTCATATATGGAAGCTGTCCAGGTACCGATATGAACTTTTCATTTCATTCCAATGGGAAGCTTTTGAAAGGTATTAAGCAGGGGAATTACCTGCTCAGATTTAAATTTTTAAGCACCACTCTGTTATTTGAAAAATGACTGGGGAAAAAGACAAGCATGGATTTAAGGAACAGTGAGAAGGCTGATGTGATAGTCAATAACTGACAATGGTACCAATGGAAGAATAGCTTGTGAGAGGAAGATGGAGTTCAATTTTAACATGATCAGTTCGAGAGGTCTATGATTCATTCAAGTAGCAATGTTCAATCAGGTATTGGCTGTACAGGTTTGGAGCTCAGCCAAAAAGGCCTTAATTGAAGGTGTTCATTAGGAATTCATCAGCATAAAGATGGAAGTTGAAACCTGTGAGAGGGCATGAGATCAACAAAGGAAAGACCACAAGAAAGAAGAGAAGACCAAGGCCAAAGCCTTGAAGGACATCAACATTGGGAGGATGATGAATGCCACCAAGCCCTCACCCCTGGCAGGGGGTGGGGAAGAAGCAGCAAGAAAAATAGAAAGAAAAAAAACAGGAGGTGAATTGTACCACAAACCAAAGAAAGAGAATGTTTCAAGAAGGAGAGATTGGTAACTTTGTTGAAAGATAAAGCGAAAAAAAAGAGGAATGAGATAAAGACTAAAAAGAGTCCACTGAATTTGCCTATAAAAATACGTTTGAGTGGGCTAAGAGCAAAGTCAGTATTGTGGAGAAGGCAGAAGTGAGAATTTAGTAGATTAAGGAATGAGAGGGAGGTAAAGGGATAAAGAATATAGAGAGAGCAATTTTTGAGAAGTTTAGCTTTGAAGAAAATGAGAAAGTAGAAATAGACATAGTAGTCGGAGAGAGTTGTGAGGTCTAGGGTAGACTTTTTTAATGCAAAATACTAGAAGGCATGAAGTCCAATAGAAAGGATTCAGTAGAAAAAGAAAGGCAAGATACAGGCTAAACATGGAGTGAGTTTCCCGCAACCACACATGGAAGCAGATATAGATAAATGGAGATGAGCAGATATGGTGGCAGGAAGCCAAAGCCCTTTGACCGCATCTATTTCCAACATGGAATATGGGATAAGATCACTTTGGGAAGTTAGTCGGGCGAAGGCAGGTAATGAGATTTTGAGAAGAATAAAGAAGGTCAGAAATTGTTACTATTGAGAAAAAACATTTCAGGCTGTATTTAGGGCCTGAGTAAGGTGTGGTGATCGTGAATCTTAGGTGATATCCATCAGTATCCATCAGGCGATCAAAGCAAGAGCAGAAGAAAGCACAGTGGAGCTCCTGACACATAATTCATGCCCTAATCCCCAGCCTCACTTCTATCCAACTGTCTAGTCATACAGTGTGTCATTCTGGATCCTCCATAACACTTAATTTCTGTGCCACTTTTTGGAGCACCTGATTACTTACAACCTGATCATATACTAACCATTTCCTACTTTGTATCCCCTGACTTTAACTCTCTACTCTACTGTCTACTCTCTCTACTCCAATGTCCTTGTACTCCTCTGTATATCTTCACGCTGCAAGGAACACAACAGCTACTCAATGAATACTTCCTAAATAGGTTTAAGGCCTAATTGTGAGGGTCTTCCAACCTTTGGAAAAGAGACTCACCAAGACTCCCTTCTGGACTGTATTTCCCTACTAGACATATAAATTAGTCTTCTTTCTGGGCACGGGGGCTGCAACAAGCCTGTATTTTTGAAGTGAACAGTGATATCCCAGTATAAAAACTGTATTGGAGAGGACCAGGAAGGGTGAAGTTGCCATCATTTTCATTGAGTAAACAAGACCAGCTGTGATCACTTCCCATCAGTTGCCCCCAACTATCTTTCTCCACCCATAGACCTAACCCATGGCCTGTACTTCACAGATACAAGCAGTCTTTTCATTCCCAATGCCACCCCAGAGGACTCAACTGCAAAGTTCATATAGCTTCCAAAGGGCTAGTGTTTGGAGGACACACCTATTGGTTTATCTGTCTCTTAAGTCTGAAATCAGATTGCTCTGTACCCAAAGGCCTTCAGTTATAATATTGCTACAATCAGAATGTTGCCCTAAAATTTGAGGAAAGATATAAAGTAACAGGGAACAAAAGAGAATAAGGACAAGAAAAAACCCACTTCAAGTTCCACTGGCTTGTCACATTCATACCTTTGCAGCCAGCCGACACTCCATCACCCTGATATTGAAGTGGGAAGTTGCTGCCTTATTCATTTCCACACAACTGTTGGCAATCACAAACACTGCTCCACTTGGGAGTTTCACATCAGTTGCCCTCAGGGGACTAAATTCTATCAATTTGGCCTATTGGAAGAAAAACAACAGATGAGATATGTTAGAATTATGCAGAAAATGTTTAATCAATGATGCATTTATTTACCTTAACAAAGTGTTTTGTCAAAAAACTCATTCGTGCATTCACATATTTACTGACTTCCAGGCACTGTACTAGACACTGGAGATACAACAGTGAACAAGACAGGCAGTGATACGACTCTCACAGAGCCTATAATCCAGTAGGAAAGACAGTCAAGTAGACAACTGTGTTTCCAAGTGTGTTACAATGGTGGCAAAGCACAGGATGCTATATAGACATATAGTTGAAGTGCCCCATCAGATGAAGCCTAAGCATAGGCTCTACTCCTTTGGAACAGGGAAATCTAAACTGAATCCTGAAGGATGAGCAAGAGAAAGGCAGACAGAGGGTTTCTTTCCTCAAAAAGGATGTCAAAAAGAAGGAAGAACTTATGCAAGTTCAGAGCTGACAAACAATGTGGGGTGTTAATGGAGCTATGGGTATTGAAAATTGGTTGGAGCTTAGAGTTTGGGGGGTGAGAAGTGGTAGGAGGTTAGGATGGAGAGGTAAAGCATGGGTCAGATGGTGAAGTGCTTTGCAAGCCCAAAGAATTTGGACTCTGTTCAGACTCTATAGCTTAGTTACATTAACATCAGGACTTTTGCCCTCACGTCTGCTTGTCAGGTCTCATCCAAAACACCCAGAGTATTTTCTTAGCATTAAACCAAATTTCCTCATGCCTTATGTCTTTGGCTTAGGGGAGAATCAACAACAAATATTATTAATAAGAAGGAATCCAGGTGTTCTTGGAAGGTAGCCAAGCTTGTAGGAATCTGATGAAAAACTAAGAAAACATTTTAAAGAAATGTTTGCTCTATTTTAAAAATGAGCAGTTTACGGGCAACAACCAAAAAAACCTCTACTCTGCCTAAGGGAGTTGATAGCCAAAGGGAAGTGGTATCCGGCTAAGGAATTCATTCCTGGCTTACTGTCAACATTCTTTTTCCCACCGCTGAAGCCCCAAAAATGTTGACAGAGAAAAATGAAACCAAAGAGTAAATTATAAAAAGAGGGGTTGTGACTATATGCGGTAAGAGAACTAACATTTGGGTTTAAAACCAACATGAGATTATGAAAATGTCATGCGATGAAGTGATTTAGGACAGGAGTGGGAAATGAGATCCCAATAACTAGAGAATTGAGAAATCTCATCATAACAATGAAGAAAAAGAAAAGGAGAGGGGGAAACTAGACACATGAGAAAAACAGACATGAACTATGAGTCTGGAAGTTTAAGGGAGGGATGATCAACATAAAAACAGTAGGTTCGCTGGTAGTAGCCTTGAGTTACAAAGCAGTTGGGAAATTAACACCCTGCAATAGAGCCTAATATAATAGGCTGCCCATAACCAAGCATGCTTGGGATCTCAAGGCCTTCCTCTCCATGTGACTTTTCCCTACTTGGTATCTCCAAGTCGCTCCTATTTGGAATGACACCTACTGTCCCTTCTTCTGCAAGAAATGATATAGACTGGTCCATGCCTCCTCCTTCAGTGCCAATATAACGCTCGCTCTTCGCGCAGATTTCCGCAAGTTCCACCTGGAAAGGTAAAAATTGATTTGTACTGTGAATAATCAAAATCTACTTCTCATCCATTACTTATTCCAGGCATGACAAATAGGTTTGAATTCTGGTGCCAACTCTGATTAATTAAGAGTAGCTGCCTAGAGCATTGCATTAACAAGGGCTCCAGACTACCATTGAACCTGATAGGAAAATACACCAAGATCAATTAACAATGTCTGCTATGGGTATGGAATAAGATATGATTGTGCATGACATGTTTTTTCTATCCCTACCTGCCTCCCTGGGGTAGGCAGTTTCTCCCCTCTTTCTATTTACTCTATCCCTATCTAGACTAGTATCCCTGAAAATCTCATATAGGCATTAATTCATTTTTGCCTCAGCTTCTTTTGTCTCCCAACAATGGACTATTCCATAGTCTACCCACAGCCAATGGGATCATTTGCCTTTATTTTCCCATCCAGAAGTATTGCAGTCCATTTGGCATTCCCATTAAATGTAATAATCAGAACTAGAGTCATCTCACCAAGATACATCTTCCTCCAACCAAGATGAAGGGGCCTAATAGAGGAATGCAGGTATAATCCTAACTGAAAATCTCAAAAATATCTAAGTATCTTAATTGCTTCCTATTGATTAAGAAGTAAGTCCAAACTCTTCAACCTATATTTCAAAGCCTTCTAAAATCTGGGACCAATTTGCATATGAAATTGTATTATCTACCCCTCTTATCCAGCTAGGTTTGTCTCCTTGACCATCTCACAAATGTTTATGCAACCTGGTATTACTTCCTGGTCTTCTCCCATATATGAATCCTATTACTAGTCAATATCCAGTTTATTGGCTACCTACTATTGGCAAATGGCTGACCACTCAAATCTTTCCCCATCATGAGGTCTTCCTCAAATATTATTCCCACTGTAGCCTCCCCTTTTTTCTGAGCTCCTACAGCACTTATATCGATACCTAGTATCATTTGTTTACTCATACTATTTATTCATTCAGTTTTTCTTTTTTCTAAGACTTGATTCAGGCCCTTATTTCTCACCTGTTCTACCAGAAGATGTTCCTAGAGTAATCATTTTGAAACACTGATATAATCATCATTTTCCTACTTAGTTCGTAGTACCTTAACATTCATACTTCTCAGCATGGTACACAAGATCTTTAATGACTTAACCCTTGCTCATTTCTCCAGCCTGCTCTCCCACTACACTACAGTAATCCTTAAGCTCCAACATTCAGGAACACTAAACAAATGCTGTTCTTTACCACCCCCAGGCTCTTTCATGTCTCATTGACTTTACAGGTACGATTTTTCTGTCCTCCTTGCTCAATGCTCCTTCTCCCCAGCATCCCCTACTACCGTGTTTCCCCAAAAATAAGACCTACCCATAAAATAAGCCATAGCAGGATTTCTAAGCATTTGCGCAATATAAGCCCTACCGCGAAAATAAGACCTAGTGATGGGCGTGGCTATGCAGCGCATCTGCACAACCCGTGCATTTTGTCCGCAGAGTGGTATATTTGAATAAATGTAGATTGTTGTACCGTACTTAAAAAAAGAAAAAAATCCCCTGAAAATAAGCCCTAGGGTGTCTTCTTGAGGAAAAATAAATATAAGACCCTGTCTTATTTTTGGGGAAACACAGTAATCAACAACTCAGGCATCACCTTCCCCTGAAATCTGTACTACCACCCAAGCGTACACATACCACATAACCCTTCCTGTACACTCTCTGTTTATGGCTCTATTATCATTTATTGACGTGTGTGTGTGCCTGTGTGTATGTTTCAGACAGGTTCTTGCTGTGGTGCCCAGGCTGGCCTTAAATTCCTAGGCTCAAGTGATTCTCCCACTTGAGCCTCCTAGGACCATGCACCACAGCTATGCACCACTGCGCCTGGCTACTGAACCACACTTTAAGTGTGGGTTTACTTGTCTCTTTATTTACCAGTCTATGAGAGCTCATGTAGCACCAAGACCAGAGTCCACTTAACTAATATGAGCTGAATCACAGTGCTTCTTATTGTCTTTTAATTGTGTCATGTTTCCATCACATCGGTTTTCCCCAGAAAATTGTGAGTCTTATAAGAGATGAATATAGTACGGTGTTTCTTTTGTGTCCCCTACTTGACACAATGCCAAGCATGCAGTAAATACTCAAGAAACACCTGCTGCTTTCATTTTGTGAGACTAGCTGCCCAAATACCATCCCACAGACTCTGCAAGTGTCATATTCCTTGTTGGTCATGTGGATTCACCAACATTAACTTTGCCTTGTGACACAAGGTAAACTTGGGATTTTGACATAATGGGCATTATGCGTGGCCTGCTGACACACAGAGCCAGCGATCCATCCATAATAGGCACATTAAAAATAAATTGGTGCCGGGCGTGGTGGCTCACGCCTGTAATCCTAGCACTTTGGGAGGCCGAGGCGGGCAGACTGCTCAAGGTCAGGAGTTCGAAACCAGCCTGAGCGAGACCCCGTCTCTACCAAAAATAGAAATAAATTAATTGACTAACTAAAAATATATATACAAAAAATTAGCCGGGCATGGTGGTGCATGCCTGTAGTCCCAGCTACTCGGGAGGCTGAGGCAGTAGGATCGCTGAGCCCCGGAGATTGAGGTTGCTGTGAGCCAGGCTGACACCATGGCACTCACTCTAGGCTGGGCAACAAAGTGAGACTCTGTCTCAAAAATAAATAAATAAATAAATAAATTGGTAACCAAAAGGTCAAAACACTTGGATTTAAAATGTAGAGAAACAACATACCCAGATGAAGCGGTACATTCAGCATTCAGTGAGAAATGATGAGACATGGATACCTGCCTAACAGTGACCCTGAGCCAATGTAAAATGTCACCTCCCCATCAATAGCAATATCAGCCACATTTACTGAGTACCAGTATGTGCTAAGTATGCTAAGTACCCGGCATTATCTCTTTTATGAGCATTATCTCTTTTAAACCTCCACACAGTGCTCTGTTGTCCCCCCTATACAGATGAAAATGGGGTTCAGAGATACATAACTGGAAGTGGAGGGGCAGGATTTGAACCTCATTTATCTAACACCAAAGCCTCTCTTCTTTTCACACTGGACTGCAATTGCTCCCCACAAAATGGAGATAATGGAACTTATTTTTCACTACTTCAAAGGAATGCAAAAAGACAAATGAGATTCATCAGAATTTAAGTATTCTCCCTCTGAAGGAGAAAGAAACCATAACATTGAGATGTTTATACATATTAATTGTTTCTTAAAATTTTCTTGATGTGTGGCAATAATGATATACTTTAATAGAAAGAAGATGTTAAAATTTTTTTTTTGAGACAGAATCTCACTTTGTTGCCCAGGCTAGAGTGCCATGGAGTCAGCCTAGCTCACAGCAACCTCAAATCATGGGCTCAAGCCATCCTCCTGCCTCAGCCTCCCAGGTAGCTGGGACTACAGGCATGCACCACCATGCCTGGCTAATTTTTTCTATATGTTTTTAGTTGGCCAATTAATTTCTTTGTATTTTTAGTAGAGACGAGGTCTCACTCTTGCTCAGGCTGGTTTCTAACTCCTGACCTCAAGTGATCCTCCTGCCTCAGCCTCCCAGAGTGCTAGGATTACAGGCGTGAGCCACCACACCACACCTGGCCCCAGAAGATGTTAATTTTTAAGATGATCTATCTGGACAGAATCTGGAAGGACTCCAGCATTTTTGAATTCAGAGGGACCCTCAGAAGTCCCCAGCATCTTGTGTGAAGGAGAGTCTACCTGCTGCGCAAGGGATATCTTTACGCCTTATTGCTACCTCTTATGCTAAATTCTGACACGTGGATTCCATGACGGGACAGGGGCAGAAAACAAAGAAAATGAAGATAAGAAAGTTGAAAGAAAGGATGGCTCAATTTACAGGCCCCCTGAATGCAAGAGGAATTTAAAAGTAAATACAGTGGACAGGAACCAGTACCAAAAGCCTCCAAATCAAGTTCAAGCCCTAACTCTGTTGCCTACTAACTCTGTGACCTAGATAGATTGCTTAACTTTTCTGAGTTTCCATTTCTTGACATAATATTAATAATAATAATAGGTTTTATGGAGCTTTCACTGTGTGCTAGAGACTATTCTAAATGCTTTGCCTAAATTATTTACTTTTCATACAACCCTATAAAATAGATACCTTTCCATTTTACAGATTAGGAAACTGAGTGGGTTTATTAGTTGAGACTAGGCAAGTAATTACTAAAGATAAAATTCAAATTTGAATTCTCTAACTCCAGCACTCATACTTGTAAGCACCATGCTATGTTACCTCCCATCCATAATAATATAGAGGAAAAATATCCACATCCTTAGCCATGGAATTATTGTGACCATCCAATGAATGAAATGAAGCATCTCAAATAAAAGCAACATGGACAGTGCTCTCAAGCACTATACAAATGTTAATTTTGTTATATTTATGTAATAAGTAAGGAATCATTTGATTTATACAAGAAAGCTGCCAAGTTTCAAGTCAAATGTAAAGACAACTTATAATTATTCTAGAAGCATTGTTAAGTGTTCAGGGAAAGAGAAAATTGAAAAGATTTTGGATGTCCCTAGAAGAGCCATTAAACATTAAGAAATAATGAAGCCTGAAGCAAACAGGAAAGTGGGTGCCCCATTAAAAGCATTTTGGTCTACTTAAGGGAGTAGGGGAATCCTTGCCCACAAAACAAAACATGCCTGCAGTGAAAAATTATTTCATCTAGTGAAAAAACTGCTAGCCCACCAGCTGGTTTGCTCAGTGGCCAAGCCCTTCTTCACCCCAGTACTAAAAGCAAAAAGATCAAATCCTACAAATCCTAAATGGTTACTATGAGATGTGTAGAAACTAGAAATGCACATAAAAAAAAATCCTATTTAAAGAAAAAAACTTGCATTCTTCTGACAGTAGTCAAAAATTAGGGAGATAGCCTACGCCAGAGATGGCATGACCTGAATTCAGAGGACTATTAATGGACGTGAAGGAGC